GCTGCCCCTCTTCCCTCTCTCCACGTGTCTCTGATCGCAGTCCAGCAGCAGGGGGTGGATGGGGGGGTAGGAGCCCCCCCCAGCTAAGCCTCCTCCTGTAAGGGCTTACTGAAACCCCCTCTGTGAATGACCTCCAGGCAGGTTAAGGGTGACTAGGCTGGGCCCAAGATACTGGTGTGGGACAGGAGGCCATCACGGGTCTAAGGGCAGTCTCACAGCTCCTGCTTCCCCCCTAGTCAGTGCAGGGAGTGGCTTCACCAGTGGGAAAACCAAGACGGGCACAGGTGGGGGCAATTGACCTTTGTGAGTGGTGGGAGGGGGGAATAGACCCCCAGGCGGGGGGTGGATGCCTGTGTTCTTTGCTGAGGGGGTCTGGAAGGTCCACAGGCGCGTTCTCTCCATAAGGCTCTTGGACGCTCTCTCTTGCCTCTGCCTCTACTCCCCCGCCTCAGGCTAATCGGCGGCCTGTGGTCCCCCTGGCCCTGCCCTCAAGATATGGCGGTGTGGAGTGCTGGGAGCCCGGACACCTGGGTTCACTCCCTGTTCTGGGGGAGGTTTGTGGGGGAGAGGGGCTGGGAGCTTGGACGCCTGGGTTCTGTTCCCAAGGGCGGGGGGCGGAATGCAGCCCATCACCTGGTGCCTGGAGGACCGAGGCTCTGCTCGGCGCTGTCCGCGGTGCTGAATGTGGCCTGGATGCCTGGGGCCCGAGTGTGGAACGGGGCTGGGCCCTAGGGCTAGGACGCCTGGGCTCTCTCCCCGCAATTGAAGAGTGGGAGGGGGGTATCCTGGACGCCTGGGTTTTCTCCCAGCCCCCCGCTCTATCCCACCAGCTCCCACTCCCTTCCCAAAGAACCCAGGCGTCTTGGCCCCGGCCCCGGGGAGAGAACCCAGATGTCCTGGCCTCCGGGGTGGAGGGCTCCGGAGGGACAGCAACTTTCGAGAAGTGTCTGCGAGATCCGGAGAGTCCTGCTCCCCCCCGCTCGCAGTCGGACTCCTGGGTCCTATCTGGGCCAGGCAGCGAGAAGTGCGAGAAGCCCGGACTCCTGGGTCCTCTGGGGGCTGTGAGGGGGACCGGTGTCAGGACGCCTGGGTTTCCGTTGCTGGCTCCGGGAAGGGAGCAGGATGCCTGGGTTTTTTCTAAAGCCGGGCTTCAGAAGTTAAAGCAATGGGGGGCGGGGGGGGCACTGGGAGTCGGGACACCTGGGTTCCATCCCTAGCTCCATCGTGGGGGAGGAGGGGCAGCGGGGCTGGGAGCTGGAGTCGAGGACCCGGACGCGTAGGTTCCCTTCCCAGCTTTGGGGTGGGGAGCGGCTATAAACTGGGGAGGAGCTGAGAATAAGAACCCAGGCTTTCGGGTTGCCAGCTCCCCTCCCCTCCACAAGCTGGGGAGAGAACCCAGGCGTCCGGGCTCCCCTCGAACAGGGAGGCAGGGAGGGGTAGCCCTTTCCGGCTCTTGCCCCTTCTTTACTCCAAGCTGGGGCCGATCCTGCCGCTGCGCCGTGCCAGGATGCCTGGGTTCTCCCGGCGGGGAGTGGCCGGGGCTTGCAGCCCGCGGGGAGGTGGTGGGGGCAGCCAGGATGCCTGGGTTCTGGGGGGCTCTCTCCCTCCCCGGCTATTTATATCCCGCTTCTATTTATATCTCTCTTTCTCTCCCAATTCAGAGACGCGCCCCCCAGCCCCGCCCCAACCAGCTTGTGTGTGTGTGTGTGGCTGGGGGGG